AAAAGTGAGGCACCGTAATGGCGGCGGTTATCTATGAGTGAGTGAATGCAGGGTTGCTAGGTTAGCCAATATTTTACCAATAAAACACAGTAAAAAGATCAAAATATTTTAATTGTTCAAAATTTTACCCGACTGCGGTGGATAATGTTTTTCGAGCGTGTATGCATGTATGTATGCCCAATAATAAGGCGCCAAAATGAAACCTTTAGAAAAAAAAATGCTTATAACCCGTCAAGCGAGGTATCAAAGTAAAGGGTCTTAAAAGAATGCAGTGGATCCCCGGTAGTCCGACAAACATTTTGCAGGGCAGTGTCGAACTATCGAATTTGTCGGATTATAGAGACTGCCTAAGACCCCCTATAGTCCGAATTTTTTTACAAAAGAGTACCTTGTAATCCGACAAATTACAGATCCAATGATAAGATTACAAAACATACTTTGTTATGTATGTCAAATTTAGTAAATTAAACAACACAATAGAAATATTATGTTTTATTATAAAAGTAACGTCAAATGCTATAGAATTTACAAAAAAATATAAAAAACAATACCCTACGCGTCGAGCACAATTGTGATGGTGCGTACAAGTTGTAACTTGTTCAATAGTGAATTAGCGAATACTTGTATGTAATAGACGATGTCGGATTATAGGGGGTGCCGCATTAGCCAGGGGCCGGATTACCGGGGCTCCACTGTATTTAGAAAATAGGTATGCAAATCGTGTACTTAAAAAAAAATCGTGTTGCACTCGGGGACTGCCGCGGTAAAGCTATTGCATAGAATTATTTGTCAACTTATGCAATAATACTATTTATTTATGCAGTATTTTTTTTCTTTGATATTAATTCAAGTTTTTTCTCTGATATTAATAGATGGCGAGGCAGGCCTTATGATATTTTATTGGGCAAGCACAGCAAACAACAGCATTGCCCGGCGCCAAAAAACTTCCACATGCTCCACAGTTTACCACCTTAGGTCCAAAAATTATAATTATAAAGTCTAAATAAAAGGGAGACAAATAAAAATAAGAACAGGTGCTGGGGTCTAAAACAAATATATAAAAAATGGAAAAAAATGTAATAAAAAATAAAACACGAGTGCGGGATTTGAACCGACGACCGCGGTGATGCGTCGAACGTTGGTCCCGTGGCAAAAATTTAACACACTGCACCGTTTCCATCGATACTGGAAAGGCGAAAATTGTGTTCATACGCACTGTTTTTAAGTTGGCATTGATCGAAATGTTTTGTTTAAATATTATCTTTAGTAATATTATTTATCGTTGAAAATATTTTAAAACTTTTGTTTCATTGTAGGTTTTTTTAAATAATCAAAGTTAATTCAAACTATTATATATAACAAATATTGACTTTTTTTATATTCCACTTTTTTTTCAACACTGAACTTAGCGCACTTTGCTGGTGCATTTGAAAACTAATTCACGTTCCAATTAATCATCAGCATAATTCGGCATTGGTAGCCACTGAGTCGCATTATGCTCTGTAATAGGAAAACTAACATGAAGTCTGTTTTTATTTTTGTATGAAAAAGTTTATATTTTCCACTTTTCATAAGCCAGAGTAAATCACCTAAATATGCCTGGCCAGGCCTGCATTCTTTTTTATATTTCTTAAATTAACAAAACATGCATTGAGTACTGTTTGTAATTGAGGAGTTCCATTGTTTCCCTCCGAAAATACTCATCAGCTCTGCACTTAATTAATACAGCCATCTCGCTAATAAACTGATTCAAACAAAAAAATAATCATCAAAATCGGTCCACGAATCTCGGAGATATGCACGAACAACAATTGAAAAAAAAAATAACAAATATGACGTATAGAACCTCTTTCTTTTTGAAGTCGGTTAAAATTTTTAATTTACCTTTTGAGGTACTGCATGCGTAACAACACGCCGGAGTCCTCTTTTAGTAGTATATAAGTCTCCAGCTTCAAAATGGATACTGCAAATGACACTATATTTATTTGGAATCCATTCATCATCTCCGTTACAATTCCTAATAACTTGGATCCAGTCATTTCTCCATTCTACATTTTCTTTAGGGAATCTGATAAAAAAGAATAACAAATAATAGATTGAAGCTAATGTCACCCCAATTTCCCATATTTTAGGTAATATGGTTACGTGAACATTGACAACACTGGACTTTAGATTAATTATTTTGTGCTTAGAATGAAAATTGATTTCGATTTCTAAAAACTAGAAAAAAGTGATTATATTGTTCATTTACCTATGAAACGTGATTCCTGGATTTTTTTTCTTTCGGTCACTACGGTTTTTACACCATTTTACCACGCAAGACATCTTGTTTTAACTTATTTTTATCTCCACTTAACGTATCGGCTGCTTTGACGTTTGCACGCGTAATGGCTGACTATGGTGTGAATGTGTGTGTGCCGGCTTGTACATATAGCGACCTGGCCGACTCTGAGCGACACAGTTTGTTGTTTACCGGGACTCTGTCCGCCTTTTTTTATACGTCCATGTTTTAACCATGTAACTTTTTGATGTTTAAGTCTAAAGAAAATATAACTAGAAAAAAATCCACGCAGACCAGACAGCAGACGGGACTCGAACCCGCACTCTTCGCTATCCGGGCGAATGCACTGCAATTATGCTACCACCCTGATGGCCGCGTCGAATTCTTCTAGCTATTCTTAAGCTGTAAGGCAGCGCCATCTCTTCGCATTCTAGGTAACACACAATTAATTAATTAATTTATTTTTCTGTTAAACCGTTTGTCGCAATCTTTAAATATATGCAATTTTCAAAAATTTGGAAAATACCATAATATGGTAATAATAATATTATTATTATCTATATGTTTTTATTAGGTATGATCTTTATTATTGTTAAGCTTTATTGAAATCCATTCATTATTTTTTGGGTGAAAGAGTAACAAATCAAATGGTTAGTATACAACTTTAAATCGTTGTAGAGCCTAAACAGTCATATAAAATAAAAAATGGTGTAAGGTGTACCTAAACATGATTTTCGATTATTTAGACAATGATACCCCACTTGACATATTTCCTCAACTATTTAGGTATTTTTTTCTATCTCACAATATGGCGCCTAATTGTCCCCATATGGAATTTCGATTACTATCATAATTTTAGTAGCACTCCTATGATTAAGGCGAATTGATTGACATATGAATTATTAAAATCGGTTCACGCGTTTGGTCTCTATTGTGCCACAAAGGAAAATTCATACGTATAATGCGATTCGAATAAGAATAGGAAAGCCAATGACCTCCATCTGTCAAATGTCGCTTGAAAAGCTCTTGCATTGCGCAGTCGGGTAAAAATATAATAACTTATATCTCTTAACATCCCGACCCAGAAGAGATCATTGTAGATTCCCTCACTTAAACTGGTTAAACTATTCGCATCCAGATCCGCACTATCATTATAGTAAACATTTATCTTGGATTATGAAATCTTAAGGTTTTCGAAAAGTGTATTTATATTAAGACACCCTTTGCCACGTAATAATATTCCATAGCATTATAGGATCAGCAACAGGATATCATTTACCTACAGTTGACCATGATTTTATTCCAGTATAGGATAAAAGAAAGTAGGTACCTACCTAACTTTTGAATATGATAATGATAAGCATTGGAAATTGATATTAAATTTGCAAAAAAATAACCGATAGATGTTTGGTGTGGAAACACTTTGAACAGTACAATATAAATAAGTGAAAACGTATTCATTTTTGTCCTTCTAATATGGTTCATATTAATGATGACTGGGTAATCTTAGCATGGATGGATGGATCAAAAAACAGCGAAGACTTCAAAATTATGGGTTTGCATTTATAATTTTGAAGAACTAATCTTGTTAGTTTGAATACCAAAAAAATGTCATGTCAGAAAGGGATAGCAGGCTACTGTACTCTAAATAAAGAATACATAAAGAATGTAAAATGTCGTTTTTTGGACAGGTATCTAATCAATATTTTTTAATTTAACGCATTTGAAGTAAATTTTGTTTTAATACTTACTATAAACTGATTTAATATAAAATATTTGTGATATTCAAATGCATGGTCGATAATATAGCCGTCTCTTTTCCTCGTGGACCGTACACCTGCTATATTACTAACAGCGCATTCAGAATTGCGCGTACAAAGAAATAAGGTCTTTATTCTTCTGTTCTGCATATAGCAATAAGTCGTAAAATTTTACGAGCTTACTTATCAGACTGTCATAACTCTATGACGCGTGCGTTTTAATTAAGACCTTATACAGTATGCTTTAAAGGTGATTTTCAATGTTTAAATAATGCCTTGTATTGTTTAGACTACGCGATCATCTTACGGAGTTCCGTGGATCGTCCAATGTACCTTGTGGACAGGTTTCGAGCATGATTTTGTTCGTGTTGGTGTATCTAGGGTATTTAATATCGTTGGTAAAAGTAATCAATCCTATTTGTTTGGTAGGTAGTAAGTCCATGGTTGGATTATTTTTTATTTTACGCAAGTAAGAGGTGTCTTTTATGGCATGTTTCTCTAAACTTAAAACTAAATTTAACATCATTCTCTCGTTTACATTCTGTATAGAGAAATATGTAAGTAAGTTTAGGTTTAGAGAATCATGTTAGAATCGACGCCGCTGTATTTGAATATTTAATGAAAAAGAGAAGAAGAATTCATCAGATGAGAGAAACAATCCCTTTAAGCATTTAAAGGTCAATACACACCGGAACGGCAGCGTCCGCGTCTCTGCTGGATCGGCATGGCGGCATGCAGCGAGTACTTTCTCAATCAAAAATTATAAAAAGAAATATTTCAAAACTTTATCTACATTCTTACAGGTCAAATGTTACATAATCAGGTAAGATATTATAAAAGTAATGGAGACAATTTTAAGCGGAACAATACCTTCAGGAGTTTACTTAGTGGCAGCGGCCGCTATTCCGGTGCGAATTATTCCTCACAGATGAAAGAAACAACATTGCATTACATAAATAGTTGGTTTATTATCATCACATTTTCTAATCTTAAAAATCACAGAAAGGATCGAGTAGTCAAACATCATTAATAAAACATTTCAATTTTGTTAACTCTTAACTGCCTTTATTTAAACCTTGACTAGAGTTAAATCTGGGCTCTATTTCACCAAGTCGACAAATGCCACTGAAATACGAAAGCCGACAATTGTCGAGTTACAGGTGATAAGTAACAATTTTGAGAATTATTTTTGGAAATGATTTTAAAAATGACAGGCATTTTACTACAATTGTCCGTATCATACTTTATCATCAATTATTTTGTGAAACATGGATATTTTTTTAAGTCGACCTGCTTGACAAATTGTCGATAATTCTTGACATGAGATCGAGACTATGACAGATTTGTGTTACAGCTGTAGTATTTTCATTGTTAGTTAAAGGCTTTCCGCGAAAGCTTGAAAAGATGAGTTCTTATTCAGGAGAATTTATGAAGATCGATAACTGTTCTCCTTCGATATCAAAGATTTTGCGTTCAAAGATAAATTACGCATAAGCAAAACCAGTATTAACCATTTAATAAATGAAATCAGTGTAGTTAATTGATCACCCCATAACAACCGTAGTACATCTCAGTGACATATCTCGTTTGGTTGTTTGGTATTGATTGTCTGTTATAACATAATACCTGTAAGTTTTATGACATATGTCGACTTGGTGTAATAGGACCCTGGTTTAAAACTGATGCTGTCACTTTTGTTTGCTAAAAAGAAGATAGAGACAGCATTAGGTTTAAACCAAGATTAACTTTAATCCGCGTTTTAGAAAAAGGTGGTAAATGTTTTTTGTGGTTTTAATATGAAAATTGTTTAAACATCATAACGATATCTTTTTTGCACTGCTTTCTTTTCCTTCAGTCAGTGCTCTTGACTCGTGTATGAAAGCCGCATAAGTGACACCCTGTAAAATAAAAATAAATATTGCTCTACACAATACTACAGTGCCACAAAGATCTTTATGATCGTGAGTGACAGTTCAGAGAGGGTGCTACTGAATGCATTTTTCTTAAATACTAGATAGTCTCTGGAGTTTTAGGGAAGGTTTATTGGTCTATATTTTGCTTTTTTATTAATTTATTTGAAAAAAAAAGAAGTTGAATTTTATGGAACAGAATTTCTATATAATCTATGATAATTTATTAAAGTCACATCTTAACAAGTACCTTTATCCCCTATGGAGGTGGCCTTAAAGGCATGTCAATTGGAGAATTCTAAATTGCTATCATCAGTATAGTTTACCTGTTGCATTGCAGCCCGAACAAAACCTTCATTAGCAGAAACCGTAAGACATTTTAACCTATGTCCAAAGTTAAAAATAATTTTTGATCTTAGCCGTACATGACCTCTGACTTTTAAAGTCCGGCGTGGGTAATCATCTGGTCCTAAACATAGTTTAAAAACAAGATTACACAAAATACATCAAGGTCATAAATTAAGTATGTATGATGTAAATCAATAATACTAAAATAATACCATTATAATCATCAGGAAAAACAGTAATCATCTCCCTCAAATTTGCAGTTCTCTTTTTCTCCATTATGCCACCTAAAGTTTCTACAATTTTTTCAAAATCATCCCATGCGGTTTTGCAGCAAACAAGTGTTTTTCCTTAAAAAAAACTATAAATGTATAAAAGAATAAGCACATATTTAAATGATAATAAAAAAAAAATGATCCTCAAAAAAAAATCTAACCGTTAAATAATAGGTAGGTATATTTTTAGGTGATTATTTATTATAGTTATTGAGAATCATTTAAATATTTCCCGAAAAATACAATACATATTGACAATCTCCTTTTTTCTAAAGTTGGTTTATAAAACATACAGCAACTCATAATTTGAACACTGATATCTGTATCTATCAATGAAAAGTATATATGTATCAGTAAAATTTTCAATTTCTGAAAACAGGTAATCCTTAGGTACTAGGGGAATTAAAATAGTGAGATGGTATGTTTTATGAGACAAGATATTCTAACTAGTATTATGAATGCGAAAGTGAGTTTGTTTGTTCCGCTTCCACGCCTAAGGCGATTATCACACGGCACCACGCACCGCCGCGGAGGGCGGTGGCGGTAACGCGGATTTCGCAGCGGTGCACCGCGCGGTAAGGCGGTTTACGCGCCTGTACGCGCGGATGGATTTAACGCGGTTTTGACCAGTTTGATTGCAGACGCTGGCAAGAATGGACGCTGAAGTGGTGGCAGCAATCTGGCTTTTATGGCGCAGAAAGAAAAAAATAAGAAGATACTGGGTTCATCCATTTTTACGAAGCAGAACTCTAAATGGGTCATTCATGTTATTCTATAAAAGTTTGAGAAAATACGAAGATAAATTTTTTAATTATACGCGAATGTCCACTTCTTCATTTGATTATTTGTTAGCAAAAATAAGGAAAGCAATTTCTGGAGTAAATACAAACATGCGTCCTTGTATTTCGCCGGAAGAAAAGCTTCTTGTGACCTTGAGGTAAGTGAAGAAGAAAATACACATTTTTCCATTTTATATTTTTATTACTTTAAATAATCAGTCTGTCAATTATTCTTGTTATTAAATCTACCTCAATCTTTTTTGAAGATTTTTTAGATTTTTGTACCTACATCTAATTATAATTAGTAATTTTAATTTCTTATTTAGTAATCAAATCACAGTTATTTTTTCTTTATCACAGGATCAACCACGTATTTATGTGTCTACCTTAAACTAATTAACATAATCACAGCTTTCTATCTTCCGCACAATGAGCATAATTTCTTATTTAGTAATCAAATTACAGTTATTTTTTCTTTATCACAGGATCAATCACGTATTTATGTATCTACCTTAAACTAATTAAAATAATCACAGCTTTCTATCTTCCGCACAATGAGCATAATTTCTTATTTAGTAATCAAATCACAGTAATTTTTTCTTTATCACAGGATCAATCACGTACATATTTATGTATCTACCTTAAACTAATTAACATAATCACAGCTTTCTATCTTCCGTGCAATGAGCACACTATGGTTTTAAAACAGTGATAAAATCTCCGATTCATCAGTAATGTTTGAATTAACTGTGGTGGGTGTTGCTGGTATTGCTTCTATAATATTATCTGCAATTCCGGCAGCAGAGGTCCCTTGCTCGTTTTGCTGGTGCGCATATGATGAAGTATTCGTATAATAACCCTGATTTTGATTATTAGTATAGGACATTGTAGCGTCGCCTGACTCTTTATAATTGTACATTTCATCCTGAGCTTGTGATATGTATCTAATTATATTTATTTTCACGACAGATTTTAATCGATCGGGTACTTTCTTGAAATCAGGCACCAAAGAGAGCATAAACTCTCGGTCAGGATCTTCTTCGTTTTCTTTTTTGTTTATTGAAGTTTTCAGGGTATCGATTAACTCTCGCGTCATTTCTTCAGCAGGATCAGATTTCTTTCTTTTAGTACCTAAGGCTCTGTCTTCATATGGTCCTCCAACTGATTCATTACCTTCCCCGACTGATTCATCGTCTCCTGCAGACAAACTGTTCTGAGTTTTATTTTTTCCAGCGTAAGGTTTTAAAAATAACAATTGATTATAAAATCTATACTGATTATTTTTCTTAGCTCCTGCTCCGCTCTTTATATTTTTTTGTCTTCGACACTCCTTCATGAAGGCGTCTCGAAGGTTTTTCCACTTTATTTGTAGCGAGCGCCCTGTAATAAAAAAATATATTGTTTCAGATACCTGGCCACGGGGTGTTCCTTTACCGATCTGCATTACAGTTATCGACTTGGTATATCAACCATACGAAATATTGTAGAAAAAGTGTGTGATGCATTATGGGATGTAATGAAAATGGAGTGTTTTCCCGAACCTACAACTGAAATGTGGTTAAATGTAGCTGAAGGATTTAAGTCAAGAGCCAATTTTCCTCATGTTTTAGGTGCCTTAGACGGTAAACATGTGCGTGTTATCAAACCATCTCTAACTGGATCGCTGTACTACAATTATAAGCATTATTTTTCCATCTTACTGCTGGCTATTTGTGATTCTAATTACAAATTTATATACGTTGACATAGGTGCTTATGGGAAATGCAGTGATTCTACAGTTTTTCGTGATTCCATTTTTTACCAAAAACTTCAAGATGGAACTCTTAATATACCAAACTCCTCTGCAATTACTGGTATCACCAATTCCGTACCATATTTTTTTATCGGAGATGAAGCTTTCAATATCTCAAACAATGTTCTACGACCCTATGCAGGACATCACTTAAATTACACTAAAAGAGTTTTTAATTATCGCTTGAGCAGGGCACGTAGATATATTGAGTGTGCATTCGGTATTTTAACACATAAATGGCGTATATTTCAACGCCCTTTGAACGTAAACAGAATTTTATCTATAAAAATTATTAAAGCATGTTGTATACTTCATAATTTTGTTAGGGAAAGACATGGCGTTGATTTTAAGGATATTTTATATACAAACAATGAGACGGAGGGAATAGTTAATATACCGATAGACAATAATTGCAGAGGAAGCACAAGTGCTGCAGCGATCCGTAATAATTTAGCTGATTATTTTGTAAATGAGAACCCGCTACCATGGCAAAGTCAATATGCTTAAATTTAAAATAAATATTTTTTTAAAACTTACCGAGTTCTTTCTTTTCTTTGTCAGAAGTTTGTCCTGGCTCCAAATATAAGGTAACAATTTCTTCCCATTGTTTCAGTTTTAGGAGTCTATCACTATATTGTGTGCTTTTCATGTCCCAGATAGCAGAGCGACTTTGAATCTCTGAAATAAACTTTTCGACATCGAAATCCATTTTTAAATTGCGACACGTCTTGCTTCCACGATGTTCCGCGCGGTTATGCGGTGCCACGTGTGTGAGGTGCCGCCCCTCCGCGCTGCCGTCCGCGCGGAGAGGCGGTGGCGGCGAGAGCACCGCTCGACCGCGCGGTCGGGCGGTGAACATGTGTTTAGTATCAACGGATTTAGTAGAGGCTTATGCGACATGAGATCCGCTTCACCGCCTGCCGCGGCGGTGCGCGGTGCCGTGTGATAATCGCCTAAAGCACTGAACTGATTTGGATGAAATTTGGTATGTTTATGACCTGGATTGAGACATAGGATACTTTTTATCACATAAAAGTGTATGGTTCCTGAGAGATTTTCAAAAAACTAAAGCTAACACGGACGATGTCGCGGGCGGCCGTGAAACAATAAATGAAATTAACTGTAAAATGTTCACAAGACGGAAAAGGTTCAACAGTTTTGAAATTAAAAATGTGAGCTCGATGACCGCCTATAGTTAATTAACTTACACAGGAATGTCTAATAGACTATATTTACATTAAGGGCTATACTATGGTATACTTCTATGAACTATAAGTATGGCAAAAAGAACTGGCAAGGTGATCGGTGAAGTTATTAATGGCAGAATCGGCCCTAATAAGATACTAAATTTGTTTTTTGTAAATAGTGCAGCAGATTACAAAAATACAGTACCAAAAATTAATTACAGAATATCAAAAAACAAAAGAACAATTTCACAATGTGGAATTGTTCTAAGAATACACGCACGCACGGCATACGGCACGCGCCCTTACTAGCGACGTTGCGTCAAATGTGCACAGGACCATAAAACCCATGACTGTAAAAAAAAATGTGCCTCACATCGAGAGACGAATGTACCATTAGAATTAGAACCGCCCACGACCACACAAGTGATAGAGCTTTACTTCAAAATCCAGAAGACAAAAGAGCAATCTGAAGAGATTACTATTAAAAAACAGAACAGAAATTCGATCTTATCTTCTCGACAATGTATCTTGCGAAGACATTGAGAAGACAACAATTTAATACTAACATCATATATCTTGCATGTTAGATCAATAGATCAATACGCTTGAAAAGGATAAAGAAACGACGAAAAACGACAAGCCACTCGACATAACACGAAAAGTTGTAGAAAAAGGAAAACTCCGGCAAGTCTGGCATCAGTCAAGATCGAAAAGCAATAAAACAGCCTTAAAAAATCATTTAATAATTAACAGGCTCAATGAATTTTCTAAATAGACCGCCATGAGCCTAAGTACTCAACAAGAACTAGCAATGGCGGGCTAAGAACTTGTACCCTTAGCACGAACCAATATCGAATTCGAATAGTTGAATTCGATCTCGAGACGCGTCAAATGCCAAGAAGTTTACTTAGTATGGAAGATATTCAATTCTCGTTCCAATCAAACCTTCTTAACATTTGACGCGTATAAGCGATCGAATTCGCTAAGGGTACTGCCAGTAGTGGTAAGTCAAGCTGATGCACTCACAACACCAGGGCGAATAATTGGAAAAGGAAATAGATACATTTTCAACCATAAAAAATCTAGAACAAATAAGTGCCGGGTTTTGATCTGATTTGAAAGAGGTTTTTGAACAGCTTCTAAGAAAGGTGTTGGAGGCGAAAGCTGAAACGCTACGAGCGTCACTATTTTTTACTATGTTCTTTGGCATTCTCAAGAGTATATTTTCTGTCTATGTAAGGTATCACAGATGGCTATGATCCACAACCTGGATAAACCCCCAGAAAACGTTACAAGCTTATGAACGATAAGCCTCTT